TATACAGTAAATGTCATGTGGTGAAACCATCAAATAAAATGGTTATTTTTCCTGTTTGTTTCTGGATATTGATGATCGCATCACATGACTTTGTTGGTTGTACCACATGACATTTTTCTATGTAATGTGCAAAACTACTCTTTTTTTTATAAATTTTTTTCTTCATTGTGAAATGTAGTTTTTCGTATTTTATTGTATTGGCTAATGAAAAACATAGCTATTGAAAATGACTACTGGCTATTTTTTAATAATAGCTAGAATATTACGCCTAATATATTTACTACTGCTACTACTACTACTATTATTAATAATAGTAAGAATGTTATACCCTTATGTTACTCTTCTCTTACAATATACTGTAAATAATATACAATAGATCTATATTGGTATGATCACATGGGTACAAATGTGGCATAAGATTAAGCATCATACCTAAAATATAATCAGTGAAGACAGTAATATCGAGGTCAGGGAAACTCTCACAGGAAGACACCAGACACTTTTGGTGCGATAAATATGTGCACTTGTCCACAGAGACCCATAAGACAGATAGAGAGCCATTGGAAAGGAGAAATGCACCGCTTATCTACAAGTAATGTGTTGATAGACACCACTTTCCTGCAGGGATATAGGGCTCAGATTAGGTTTTCCAGCTGTTTAGATACCTCAGAAGAGGAAATGAGGTCAAATATGTTTTATTAAGTGTTAAAATGAACACAATCCAATGCATCTTCTATATGCAAGAGGCTAATCTACACATATTTACTAATTATGGATATGAGAGTATTTAATGAGTGTTAAGGACTGTATCCAGTCAACAAAAACACTTCAAGGTGGAGCCATGGGATACGGCCTGTCAGCACATCTATAGATAGACCGTTCCTGCGATGTAATGTCAAAGTGTTGGGTGTATTTAACATTATCAGTAAATTATAGTACATATCTGTGTTAAATGATTTACTATAGTCTATAATATGCAGTTAGTGGTGTTTGCTACTGTTGCTCATACTTACAAAAACAAAACAAAAAATCCTATAAATTTGCATTGAGCGAGCCATATTTATCTCAACTTGGTGGTGGGATATTTGTTCTGGGGTCACCTAGCAACCACAAAGCAACACAAGCAAGACCTTGTATCATTGCAACACCCTAAGGCATGTTTTTCTACTGAAGAAAATCTAGCAATGCATCTTTACATGCATGTGTTTATGTGCTTGTGCAGAAAAGGTTCCGATGAAAGGATACGAGCATTGCGAGAAGCGTGAGGTACGCACATTAGAATATCTAATTGCATAAACATGTTTTTAAGAGATTTTGTTAGACGTTCTGGCCTAAAACTTGGCAAATGGGTGGTGATTAAGCGGATTTCATTCTTGGCTTGTTTAATGTTTTGATACAGTGAGTCTGAAGACTTGTGCTGTCACTGACCTTTCTACATGTAAACACATTTTTCAGCTGTCCTTTTTTTCGCGCCCTCTCATTCTCCACACACATTTTGACAGTTCACACAACACTTTCACTTTTCTTGAACCGGCATGTGCAAATTCACTCACACATTACTAAAGAGTTGAATACTAAGTATTCACTGTACTAAATATCTTGCTTAAGCTATTCTTGAGGCATTAATGGTCAATTTAATTACAGTAAACTGATGCAAATATGCAATTTCTGCATACTGCATGGATGATTGGACACACTTTATAAATGTCTTCGTAATGCAATTGCAGCATTGGTTTCAGTGCAGGTTGTAATATTAAAAAAGCCACTAGAGGGGGATTGAAATCCAAATCTTTATGTAATGTAGATAAACTTTTTTTCCTCTCCACCTTCTACACATAAATACATGGTGGTTTACATTGCATTCATACATTTTATTAGTTCATACATTCCCTGGGAATCAAACCCAAAATCGTGGCGTTGCCAGCGCCATGTTCTACTGTTTGATCACAAAAAAAAAAAAAAAAAAAGTTGTATCAATAAATGCCATGTTGAATTTTTTCCTGAAATGATATCTTTCAGTCAGTAGCCTATCAAGTGTGACAGTGCATAGATTGCTTTAGATGTGAATCATCTATGGGGAAAAGAATGTGTTTGAAAATAGAAATAGAAGGAAAAAAGTGGCTTAATGGGAGTTAGCATTGGCATTTGTTTGCCATTGCCGTGTCTGTCCTTGTACGATATAATAGAAATGGACTCTATGGAAAGGATATAAAGAATTAAATAATAGTGAATGTAGGCTATATTTTGATGACAAATGCATAAACTAAAACAGAAGGGTAATTTTGTGGATAAACGGAATCTAATTTCAAAAGACATCGACCAGTTTACTTTTAAAACCTGATCAATTTCATTAACATATCCACAAACTAAATGGACAACAAGACACGGGGCATTGTGGACAATCTGGCCAAGAATGTGAAACGAACGCTACACCTTCCCAATGAAACAAAATCAGAACACAGTTCTAGCGACATCTAGTGGTCACTGAGAGAACAACATGCATGAAATTAAAGCTGTTCAGTTGAAATTAATTTTAATGCTGGTACATATATACATCAAAAGGTCCTAAGTGAGCACATCCACAGTCCCAGGACCACAACCACTGCGGTATAGACTGTATGCAGGTATTCGCTCGTATCCTCAGTGTCTCTGTACTGAATGGTGAAGGTGAATCATGGTTGTCGCCCTGGTGTTCAGTGGTGTCTGGACGAGGTCTTCTGCTTTGAGCCTCTGTGTCATCTCGGGCCTCCTCATCCTCTGAATCTGTTGTATATTAAAATGTTATTTTAGCCTACTTGTTTTCCCTGACCAACAACTACTGTATATGAGCATCACTCAGACCTAGTGTTGTTGTTTGATATACATGGACCTCGACATGGATGTTATTTTGCTCACCATGGCAAAGAAAATCAAGCAATTCTAGAATGAACCGAAGCTCTAGATCCGTTAAGGGCTCTTCAGTGAGATCGCTGTAATCACTCATTTCAAATGACAAATAATTGCCAAACTGGCAATAAAAAACGAATTGAGCTGATCCAGCTACTAATATTCCCACAATTGATAACCAAACATAACCAAACATTCTTAAACATCAACATACTGAGACTCTAGTGAGAAACAGTTATACACTCATTCTAGTACTACCAAAGCTACAATTATGAGTCCTACTACTGTTAGGATTTAAATGATAATAATAACAAAAATAATAATTGACAATAGTCTCACAGTAAGCAGATACAATAACAGCCATTTAACGATAAATGTGAGAATCATATTTATTAATTTGTTTATAATTATTATAATTTTTTTTTCAGTAATGAACTAGACCAATACCTTATGCATTCATAATCGTTTTATTAGTGTTACTCTGAAGTCATTATAATGTACTTGCGGTCTGGCATATAGTCAATTAATGCAGGCATATCAGAAAATAACATCGTCACATTCATCCATCCAACGCTAGACGGCGCACACGTCTCTACAAAATGAATCATTGGCTGCCACTGTGTCCTTTAAATGTCAGTAGTTAAATTTAAATTGTGAAGTTAATATGTATCCCTCCGCGCCAAATTATTCTTGAAACCATTAAAACTGCTCAGCTACTTCATGAAGACTTGGGAGACATCATGCCATCTTATTTCCCCCCTTTTCATTTAGATGTTCCAGTATTATGGCCTATTTGTGTTCATTTTGTCATGTGATATTTAACTGTATTTTATATTAAGTAATACTTTTTCATGTTGTTTATTTATATTTACATCAGTTTTGTGGAAACGTTATATCACATACATTTATATCAATATCTATGTACGTATGCATAATATATTTGTAATTATTTGTTTATTTATATTTAATATATTAGGTAATAATTATTTATAATTAATTAGTTATATTAAATGTAATAAGCCTAATAATATGAATGCTAATATGTAATATTTTCTTCCTGTTTTATTTGTACAGCCATGACAATAAAGCACTTGGGAAAAAAAGAAAGAATATTTGCCCAGTTATATCAGCCTGTGTGTATTGTGTGTGTGTGTGTGTGTGTGTGTGCAGGTTTTTCTATACTGGTGGGGACTTAAACCTGACTACACACAGACTCATGGGGACTTGTGTCACCGTGGGGACCTAAATAGAGGTCCCCATGGGTACAAAAGCTTATAAATCATACAGAATTTGTTTTTTTGAGATTGTAAAAAAGCAGAAAGTTTTCTGTGAGGGGTAGGTTTAGGTGTAGGGCGATAGAAAATACAGTTTGTACAGTATAAAAACCATTACGCCTATGGAGAGTCCCATGGATGGGGCACCAGACTGTGTGTGTGTGTGTGTGTGTGTGTGTGTGTGTGTGTGATTTTGCGTAGCCCCTCCCCCAGTCTACTATCTGCGCATGTCACAGAAAGCCGCTGATCACGTAGTACACGTGCAGCACGCTGATTCTGAATTAATATACAGAGGATTGTTGTAGATATCTTCTGTTCAGTTTTATGACTATTTATTTATGAATAAAGCGTGCAGTACTTCTTTTGATATTGAAATAGTAATATATGGAGTACAAAGAGTAAATTGACAACGTTTGCGATTCCTTAGTAGTAATACAATCTTATTTCCAGTTTATATTATACACCTGCTTTACTTTTATTGTCTCGATTCAGGCTCTGCTCTGTATGTCATTTGACATGATCATGTTAGTAAGTCTGGTGTTTTCGGATCAGAAAAATTTAAAAAATCAAAACCCTAAGAATGTTTTTAACAGCAGTTCAGTGTATGAATTGAATTTTATTGTGAAAAGAAGTACGCCTACAATCTTCATTCATCGAAACCTCTAAGTGATCGTGATTGAGCCCATGTCTGCAGTGGCAGGCGCTGATGTCGGCAGACTCGGCACTGGTCGGATTTTACTTCGGCAATTTCCGTTTGTGTTAACCACGCCCCTATTTCCCTTCGGGAGTTTCCGCTGACGTTAATCCCGCCCCTACAGTCCTCAGCGTTGTTTAGGGACATTAGGAAGATGGCGGCTGCCCCGCTCTACTGTGTCTGCCGGCAGCCCTATGATTTTAACCGGTTTATGATCGAATGCGACATTTGTAAAGACTGGTTCCACGGCAG